CCTGTAACTCACTGCCCAGGAAAGCATAAATATCATCTCAGAAGCTAAAATCAGCCTCATGTAACATCACCAATTCCAGCTTTTCTCTGAGCCAGCTGCAGTAAGGAATTTGGCATTTACCTTTCCAGAGGCTCACAAAGCCTTTAATCCTTTCTTTATGTAACTATTACCATACTACTACACCATATTCTTTAATGTGCTCATTTTTGCCCTGTAGAGGAGCACTTAATTTTTTTGTGCAGAATAGATAGATAGATACATATAATGTAAGCATTATGTATATAATATATGCATTATATATAATGTAATGCAGCAATGAGGAGACAAAGAGACTTCTCTAACTTTTCCTGTAGATGTAAGCAAATGTTTATTCAGAGTTGACTGTAAGGGCAAATACATATAAAAAAATTGCAATTTCCCCCATCAAAAATAAGGGAAGATACACTCTCCATTCAATTGTCTGAGAATAAATTTGTGCAAAACTTTTCTTGGAGTTATATGAGCTTTGTATGCACCTTTGATTGGACCTGGGAGCCATCTTTCAGAAATGTAATCATCAGAGTAACAACACCTATACCTCAGTTCCTCTAACTTTGATGAGCATCTTTTCCTCAACTTCTTGTCACCTGTCATAAAGAATCAAGAAGGTGATTTTTACTTTAGCTAACACAGAGATGCTCATCCTCATTACCAATTGGATTTGGGATCAACTGTGGGTGACAAAAGATGTCCAAATCCCCCCTCCTCCCTCCCCCCCATTGGAAGATTAGCTATTGTTCATCTTTTGAGAATTTGTGTTAAACCTGCGTAGTTATGTGAACAAGTAAGATATTTTCCCTTACTGTATTTCCTATAAGCATCCCATTTGGTTTAATATTTATTCAAGAACAGAGCAGTTTTCATTATCTTCTACCTTTACAGAGGAGTTTTTCTGGGTTGGGAAGGGATTTTGTTTTCAATTATACTTCTCCAACAATAGCAATTTCACTTCTTGGCAAGACAGCTACAGAAATGTAAACTAAATGGCACTTTTAGAAGAAAACTTGGTAGTAATTATTGAGATATATTTAGTCTAGTGAAAGCTTATGTAAACCTATTTTCCTGTCTGATCAGCCGTATCAAGGCTACAGACAAACTTACATATTTCTTATTAATTTGAAAATATATTTTTCTGTTTCCTGCTTACTAATATTTAGCACCCAAACTACCTCTTCTGTAAAAATTCTGATCTTAGATATTTTGCTCATTTTATTTATTGTCTTAGAGTTTTTGATTCTGCTTATAAAACCTCACCTAATCTCTTAAGTAATCTTTTAAGTTTGATTCTTATAATAATGTTGCCTGTGTAGCTTTCTTACATGAATTACTTGGTGTAATTAAATGTAGCTGTCTCTTTTTTTGGTTTTCAACACTTGAGAATGTAAAAGGATTTTTCTTAACATCAAAATCTTTCCATCTGCGCTAACGCTTTTGTAGGTTTTCTTATTTTTACATTTACAAAGTGGGACAAAAATATGACAAACATTGTTTGAAATGTGAACTAGTGGTAGCAGTGTATTTGTGCCCAGCCTGTCAAAACCTCAAGTCATTCTTTCGGTGGATGAAAACAAATTTATACTGCTTGTACACTGTGTAAATTAGACTTTTTTTCTCAAAGGAAGTTTGAAATCGTTTATTGTGAGTCAATTATGGAATGGCTATGGCCCTGTCACTTTTTCTAACAAGAGTTTACAATGAAAGTGAAAAATGCTAGATTTTAATCATGTTCATGTGTTAAGGAATACCACAACTTTTAAACTGAATAGAATTTTGCTATTGCTATCTCATAGTGGAGGTCTCCATAACAAATATCAGATTTTTGTAAAAGCATATTTAGAAGCCCAGCTCAGCAAACCTGAAGTAAATCTGAAGCTCAGGAATTTCACCACGCCACTCAAGGGTGACCTGTACATATCCCAGAAAAATCAAATCATACCTTGAAAAGTCACCGCTTTTGGTCTCATTTCCTTTCAGAAATATCACAGGGTTCCTGAACTACCTACTGCAGATTAGAAAACCATCTGAGATTCATGGGAAAAGGAAATACATTTCCAATTAAAACCACTTAGTTGATGCTCTTACTTTTTAACTACATGAACAACCACGTGTTAAAATTTTAAAAATATACAATTACATTTTTAAATGAATGAGACAACCCTGTCTTTTTCCCCTTTGGCCTTTTACGTACCTTAACCTGAGTTCAAATTTTAAACTAAAGTATCAACAAAATTGTTGCAGGAATTTAGGACTAATGCAAAATAGGTACCAAGGTCTCTTCTGAAATTGTAGGGAAGAACTATAAGGAACTCTTACATACTCACCTAAGCATACTGGGCATTCACAGAAAATCTGTTTTGTAAGGTACTGTCCATCCTTAAGTTTTCCTAAGTTAACTAGTGTGCTAAGCATCAGCAAAGAAATTAAAAATACTTCTCATTTTGAAGGAACTGTTAAATGAATTTAAACATCAGAGATTTCTTCCCAAAATTAAAACCAACATATGAAAAAAATTCCACCTACCCTTCAGTTTTTTTCCAATAGTAACATGGGATAAGCTTAGAATTTCTACTGTTGGACTATGAGAGCAATATTTCAGACATTCTATTACAATATGAGATAGGTTATAAAGTTGTACTTTGTATGCACAGGAAAACATTTTAGAGAATGACCTATATTTCTTTTTTTTATTATTTTTTAAATTTTATCATTTATTTATTTATTTTTGGGTCCAGTCGTGGGGCCTGAACTCTGGGCCTGGACGCTGTCCCTCAGCTCTTCAGCTCAAGGCTAGCACTCTACCACTTGAGCCACAGCGCCACTTCCAGTTTTTTTCTTTTTTGCTTATGTGGTGCTGAGGAATCGAACCCACAGCCTCATGCATGCAAGGCAAGCGTTCTATCACTGAGCCACCTTCCCAGCCCCAGAATGACCTATATTTCTTAGCAAGATTTAATTCCATATTATAAAATGATGAAAGGGATTATATTAATTAAGTTGGCAAATTAATCAGAACCAAGTCTTCAACCAGCACCAGTAGCTCACACCTATAATCTTAGCTACTCAGGAGGCTGAGATCTGAGGATCACAGTTCAAAGCCAGCCTAGGTAGGACAGTCTATGACACTCTTATCTCCAATTAACCAGAAAAAAAAAAGCCAAAAGTAGAGCTGTGGCTCAAGTGGTGGAATGTTACCTAGAGCAAAAATGCTCAGGGATAGTAGTACCCAGACTCTGAGTTCAAACGCCAGGATTGGCAAAAAGCAAAAACAAAAATGAAATGAAACAAAACTCAAATCTTCTCTCAACTCAGGAAATCTAATTCTGTGTATAATAGATGGCTACAGAGATCAAAAGGTATTTTTACTTCCATATAGCTAGCTTATAAACATACTTGTGATTTCTAAACAATACTTCCATTTTAAGATTGTGACAATTTGTAGTTCCTCCCAGAACACATCTGTGAGAAAAACATGCAGTTCTTTGTTAGTTTCTCTCCTGTTCTTAATAAATGCATGTGTCAGGCAGGGAAGGTGGCTCAGTGGTAGAGCGCTTGCCTTGCATGCCTGAGGCCCTGGGTTCGATTCCTTAGCACCACATATGCAAAAAGAAAAAAGCTGGAAGTGGTGCTGTGGCTCAAGTGGTAGAGCGCTAGCCTTGAGCTGAAGAGCTGAGGGACAGCGCCCAGGCCCAGAGTTCAGGCCCCACAACTGGACCCCCCCCCTCCAAAAAAAATGCATGTGTCTTTCTCACCAAAATCACATACTATATGAATCAAGGTTGTTCAACATCTCATTGTATATTAGGTTCAGACTACGACACAAAAGCCCTTAGAATTTCTTTGCAAGAATGAAGTTGTAACTTTCATGAGATATGACTAAGTCTCTTAAAAATAAAAAGCAAAAGTGAACAGACACAAACTTTTCTATGTCAGCAAAGTATGTTTCTAGAAATACATTAATTCAAAACACAGGGTTCAGTTAAAAATAATTGTTCTTGGCTTATGCCTGCAATCTTAGTTACACAGGAGCCTGAGATCTGTGGATTACAGTTCGAAGCCAGCTTGGGCAGAAAAGGCCAAAAGACTTTTATCTCCAATTACCCACCTAAGAGCCAGAAGTGGAAATATGACTCAAGTGGTAGGTTTTAGCAGAAAAAGCTCAAGGTCAGCATCAAAGGCTTTTAGTTCAAGCTCCAGTACTAGTGCATGTGCACACACACACACACACACACACACACACACACACACACACACACACATATGCACGCACGTGTATGCACACACACATACACACACACTGTAGAATAAACAAACAAAATTTTATTCTTTTCCCTCATGGGATTAAATGATAATACAAATATTGTGAATCTGCCTTAAATGTTTCTGGCATTATACTATTAAAGTACAAAACCTTATACAAAGCTATACATGACCTATTTTCTTTCACAATTAATACTAAAAAAGATCAGATATATTCGTATATGCTTTGAAAGGAAAATTCTCATCTTGACTATTACCACTATGGATTTGGAAAGAATGGATTCAATTAGAGAGAACTGTAATGATAATTTCAGTAAGAATCTCTCTCAGAAATACACACACACACACACACACACACACACACACACAAGAGAGAAGAAAGAAAAAGAGAAGAAATACTCTTTAACACCTTTTGTTACACAATAGCAACCAGAACTAATGCAGGGTGGTGTGAGTACTTTCTGTGCACACAGGAAAACCATCTTTCTGTGTTTTAGAGGTGTAGCCATGCACCAGCAAGTAATGACTATAATGTCTGATGAAATCAATACATTTAGAGATGACAATTCTACATGCACTACCAAAGTTCTGAATGGAAAATGGAGCTGTTAAACAAGGACTTCAATCTTGGTGGCTAATAGAATTTCAAAACCTTGTTGGCAAGAGGAGATGGCATATGGAGAGAAAAGCAGAGACTCAACATGTCAGGGAAACACCACAGGGAAGTTTTATTACCACCCCAGGGTTTACACGAAAAGCTACAACTTGAAAGTCATTTACAGACATGCTTAAAAGGATGTAAACATTAGGCTTCATATAACAGTACCAAAAATGCCTGGGGTTTATCTGTAAATCGCAGAGCCTCTAGCAGAGAGACTCCTCCCCTTGTTTTATCAGAGACGTCTGAGAACACTGAGAGATGAGCTGCAATGAGATGAGATGAGCTTGTGGGAGATCCGCCATGCTCAGCATCACCTCGCAGCCAAGCCCTCTGCACCGAGGCAGGCATGAGAGAGGCAGAGCCCCACTAGCAGCACTGGGATCTGTGCTCTGCTACCAAGGTCTCCTGATCCAGTTTAATCTTGTCCAAATCATTTTCTTCGCTAGGAAAGTTTTGGTTGTTCACAAGGATGTTTTCCACTAGGAACCGGGTGGCTTCATCTATGTTTATGTTATCCTACAAAGCAGAAGCCAAGAATACATTAGACAGGGACCTGTTTTCAAATGAAAGCATTAAAGGAAGCTTCGTCAGAGAAGATGTAAGCTGTAACTCCACCTCTGGCTTTTTGCTGGCTAACTGGAGAGAAGAGGTTCACAGATTTGTCTGCCCAGGCTGGATGCAAACTGTGAGCCTGAGGGCTGGGAAGGTGGCTCCGTGGTAGAGTACTTGCCTTGCATGCATGAGCCCCTGGATTCCTCAGCACTACATAAGCAGAAAAAGCCAGAAGTGGCACTGTGGCTCAAGTGGTAGCCTTGAGCTTACAAGCTAAGGGACAGTGCCCAGGCCCACAACCAACAAAAAAACAAAACAAAACAAACAAAAAAACCCCACCAAAAACCAAAACTGTGAGTCTGAGCTCTCAGCCTCCTGAGTAGCTAGGATTATAGGAGTGAACTATTGATGCTCAAGGAAACTTTTAGCCAATTTTCCCTTCTCACGTCTGCACACACACACACACACATACACACACACACACACACACACACACACACACACACACACACACAGAGAAATCTATACAACATATACTCTTAGCTTGAACTTGTTAAGAATATATGAATTCATGAGTGGGTATTTGTCATTATTTCTTAAACACACTATCACTTTTATGTCTAATCATTATTGAGCTCTCCTCTGGGAAACCTTCCGTGCATATAACCCTCCAAATAGGATGTTCCCTTTTACTTTCTAATGTTCCCTTTTACATGCTCCCTTTTACTTTCTAATATTGCTGGATTGTTAAGCCTTGTAAAAATCCATGTTAGCATTCTTTCTTAACTAAAAAAAAATCCAGTCCCCAATAATAGAAAACAAAAAACCAAAACATTTCATCCAACTCATGGAAGGAAGCACATCACAAATGATGACATTTCATTTCTCTTTTTCAAATCTTTCACATAGTTAACTATAGTTTTCCCGGCCTTCCTGCATAGGACATCCATCTTCCCCAAGGATACTTCTCCATAGTTCTTGTAATTGTCTTGTAAAAGTCAAAAACGCCTGTTCTCAACGGTACACCTTATTTCTCGTTTTCTCCAGTAGCGTGAGAAGTATCTCAGTGAAAACTCAAACACAGGAAATGTTATTTGACTCTTGTTTTATATAACACTAACCATTAATTTTAATGCAAAACTTGCTCTTTGAATCACTACCCAATAGCTAATTTTAAAAGAGCTCCTGCGCTGAGGTGAGGGAATCTATCCCATATCCATGCTATAATATTTTTTTTTCTGGGCTTAAAAAGAAAACCAACCTCTCTGCAATCCATCTGCATGCTTCACATCACTTCTCGTACTGACAAGGGAAACACATTCAAGCGTAAGGAGAGCATACCTTGGCAGAGGTTTCAAACCACCCAGTGAAGCCATGGTCTTTGCAGAACTGTTCCATCTGAGGCAGACTTGGTGCACCCTCCCTTTTCTGGTCACATTTATTAGCCAGGAGGACAGCAGGAATAGGGCTGCCATTGGGAAGATGAACTTTACTATCCAGGTCGCTTTTCCATTTTAAGACTGCCTCAAAAGTCGAACTTCTCGATATATCAAACACAACAAAAGCACCAACAGCTTCTTTATAGTATACTCGGGTCATATTGCCGAATCGCTCTTGCCCTGGAGACAAATACAAAGACATTAAACACTTGTAATTCTGAGAGTCTTCTTTAGATGACTCCAGTGATCTTAAAAATTATACTGCAAACAAACATCTCCCATTAATGGTAACACGCATTAGTAGCCTTGAAAAATATCCATACAGAACCATGACGGATGAAGTGAAAAAGGCTGATAATATGCTGGACTGCGCAACTGATAATATACTGGACTGCTCAATTGACTACTCAATTGTCATGTGCATGTATAAAGTGTTCACCAGAAACTTCAATCTGACAGCCCTGAAGTTGGTCTTTTCTTTGTCCTCTCTCCTTAGTCTAAGAGAAAAGAATCAGGTACTGGAAGGGGAAAAAAGGAGCTAGAAGAGGAAGAGACAAGAATAGAAGAAAAGGAAGCTCATAGGAAGAAGATAATGGCAGTGGTAAAAAGCCTTGCGGGAAGATTAAGACGACTAGAGATAAAAGCACCTCCTGTTCTCAGTTCATCTTTCCTTCACATCTCATCTCTACCAGCCACTGACTCAATATGTAGAACTGCTCCCTCTTAAGCAGCAGACACATGAAAAGCTACAGTTTCTGAACAAGAAGCAGTAGAGCTAGTTTTGTATGACTGTAACAAAGATCAACTGCAGAGTACTTCAAACATCACTGTCCTTTGGAAATAATTCAAACACTGTTAAACACTTTGGTAAATTCCGCTACTTCTGACAGTTTTGCCTTGACATCTAGGCAGGATTACCCTCTTTAACCATACTTATCTTTCACAGAGGAAGGACACTTATCTTCATCTGACAAATGAGAAGACACATGAAAAGATGCTGACCAAAAGACAACCAGAAGCCAGGCCTTCAGACTCCATCAAGTCAAGGAGATGAAGATTCTAAACTATCCTGCAGTTGCTATGACGTCTGCATGTTAACTGACTTGCTGGCTATCTTGAGAGGAAAACATGAGTGACAATGAGCGTCTAAGGTGTATCACTTGGATCTGTGGTGAAGGCACTCCGGTAGGTCACTTCCTGTTAAAGCACATGATGAGAAGCAAGCTTTATCTGTGCTTTAGTGTCATGTGTTTATCTTCTTTTGACTTTCACATGTGAAAAGCACCTCAAATTGCAAAATTCGTCTCCAAATTTTAGAACAGCATCATACCATTTTATATATTGCTTTGGCTTTGTTTTTTTTTTTTTTTTTTTGGGTCCGGTCGGAGCCTGAACTCTGGGCCTTGGCGCTGTCCCTCAGCTCTTCAGCTCAAGGCTAGCGCTCTACCACTTGAGCCACAGCGCCACTTCCGGCTTTTTTTCATTTTGCTTATGTGGTGCTGAGGAATCGAACCCAGGGCCTCTGGCATGCAAGGCAAGCGCTCTACCACTGAGCCACCTTCCCAGCCCCTGCTTTGGCTTTGTTGACTGCTCCGTGTATGTGTGTGTGTGTGTGTGTGTGTGTGTATGTGTGTGTGTGTGTGTGTGTGTGTGTGTAAGCTGCACTACCATAGTCCAAAAGTTTAAATTTCATTATAACAAATGGCCTCATACTGTGAACTGTGTCCTGCTCATATCTTTTTGGTTCTGTCAAGCTAACCAGTAAACTGTATAGTTTATTTGGCCATCATGGTGACACTTACAAAAAGTCAGCATTGTACTGCTTTTTATAAACTTGTATTTAACAATGATATAGACATTAGCATTCAGGATATTCCAACAGTTCAATGGAAAGGCCATTATTCTTCAGAAAGGCCTACATAAATGCATTAATGTTGTTCAGACTTAAAGTTCCACTAACTGCTAACTACTTCCATTGTTATGAATTTTAATTAAGTATGCAAGGAGCACAGCTACGGAAGTAATTAGCCTCATTAAGGGAGTCTTAGGTCAAAATAGAAGGATGAACAAAAGGTAATTAGAAAGTAATAAGAAAATACTCATTTGGATCATCCTTTGAATTGAGAAAAGACAATAGGGTGCCAAACTAGTAAAATGAAAGTATGGATATCCATATGTTACAATAAACTAGCAGGTGTGGGGCTGGGAAGGTAGCTCAGTGGTAGAGCGCTTGCCTTGCATGCATGAGGCCCTGGGTTCGATTCCTCAGCACCACATAAGCAAAAAGAAAAAAGCCAGAAGTGGTGCTGTGGCTCAAGTGGTAGAGTGCTAGCCTTGAGCTGAAGAGCTGAGGGACAGCGCCCAGGCCCAGAGTTCTGGCCCCACGACTGGACCGAAAAAAAAAAAACAAAAAACTAGCAGGTGTGATTGTTGCTTTTCTTTCTTTCTTTCTTTTTTTTTAGTGAATCATATGAAAATCTCTAATTCTTTTTGTTAATCGTATGAAGTGATATTAAAAAGATTTACTGGTATATGCTTTTCATAAAGCATAGGAAAATCAGAAATATCTATGAAAAATGTCTGTGAAAAGAACTTTAGAGGACACTGTGCTCTAAGAAATGTCAACCGATTCTCCTCAGAGGTAAAGGCCAGGATTAGAAACTCCCTGGTGGCCCTCACAGCCGAAACTATGTATAAAAAACCACATTATATGTAGAATAAAAAAACCAATTGTATAATTAAGCAGATGAGAATAAAAGGGACTGACAGGAAGGCAAAATGTGAATCACCTATTTGGTAAAAGATTTGTACCAGAGAAAGTACCAAAAGACTCCTCAAGAAGAAGACAAAAATCCAATTAATAAAGTAACCAAAAGATCATAAAAGATACTTTTACCAAAACTTAGGTAATCCCTGTCATGTCATGGTGAGTGCCTAGGCTGGGTGTGGTGGAATCTGACAGGAGAGAGCTGGGTAGTAAAAGACTCTGTGTGTGTGTGTGTGTGTGTGTGTGTGTGTGTGTGTGTGTGTGTGTGTGTGTGTGTGTGTGTGTGTGTACTGTAGTAGCAATGGAAATGGAGATTGATTTGGAACCTGAGAGACTTCCTCTTTGAACAGGTTTATTGAACAAGTTCAGCTTCACCCAGGGAGAATTCTAGGCAGCATCACTTTCTCTGAGAAGAGCTGGCAGTTCCTGCTGACTGGGACTTACTAGGATGAGGTGCTGAATCATCTTGCCTCTCTTCCTTTATAGATGAGAGAATAGAGTTCCAGGGAGATGAAATGACTCTAATTTCTGGGTTGATTGTTCCACTGTGCTGTATAATCTGTTAGCCAGATACTTGCTAGAGTAGACATTTTTTGCATTCATCCTGTATTTCCAAAGAGATCCTGGAAGTATTAGTAGCTGAGTGTATGTAAGGACAGTGTATGACTGCTACAAAAGCATACCCCTCCTCTATCTCTCCCAGAATAAGTACAGAAAGAAGACTCCTGGGCTACCAGGCTCTCCTACACCAGCTAAGGGAAGGTCCTCTTTTGTCCAGTGCATTAATCACCCTAATACTAGGTACAGCTTTTGTATCCCCGCTCACACCATGTCTTTGTCTTCATCAATATGCTTTTTCCTTCTCTAGAGGAAGGTATCTTAATTATTACTTGACATTTGGGCACTCAGAACCAAGAAAAAGAACACCCCAACACGCAACCCAAAAGAGAATTAAATATTCACACAACCTCATACCTATGCTAATGGATTAACCAAAAGGTACCTGTGTTGGAAAAGGATTCAAAGGTTTATGTAAATAGTTGGAGGTTTTCAACATTAATGACACTGAGCAGAACTGCAAAGGACAAAATAAGTATGTTTCTGGAATTTGTTTTCCAACTAAGTTAAAGAAAGCATATATGATCACTTGCCTTACCTCATTAAAGCTGAAGAAAACCTTAAAAATTAAAGTGTTTCCTTGGGCTGGAAGTGTGGCTCAATGGTAGAGCACCTGCCTAGCAGGCGTAAGGCCCTAGATTCAAACCCCAATAAAAAGAAAGAAATTACTGAGTTCTGCTGTTGTCAGAAGGGCAAGTTGAATATGCTTTTTCTTGGGATTTTCACCACTGTTTCTGTTTAGCTTTTCATTATTTTTCTAAATCTTATATTCATGCCTCCTACCTAATAGGTGATCTATGAGTCTCTTTTAATGTTAGTTGAGCAGCTCAAACCAAATTAGAGTGTTATGATGAAACATATTAAATTTTCTATTTATAAATACTTATCTTCATCCACTGAAAGCTGCCACACTACACATTAGTACTCAAGGTTGGCGGAAATATATACTTTCTAAGCAGTAAGTGAAAAGTTTTTTAAAAAAAATTCCTTAAATTTTATTATGTATTTCAGAGAGGAAAGAGGCTTCAAACAAGCAATGTCTAGTCACACATTATAAGAGGTTATTACGTAAATCAAAATAGTTGGCCAATTTGTGGTCACATTCATAACCATTTTAAGGGTCCTTTAGAGATAACCATGTTCAATAGGAGTAAAATGTATCCCCTTTCTGTCCTGTACATGACTTTTACAACCCCAAATTAGCCTCATGGAGAGGATTCAGGGTGACACTTCTCAGAATTGCTATGACTCTAGCAAAGGACGGCAGGGATGGGGAGTGTGAGAAGATGCCAGAAGATGCCAACAGCAGGCAGGTTGTCTGATCAAGTGATAAACTCGTAGAGCACAGTGAGAAGATAAGCATGTTGCCAAGTATTGAGCTAACACAGAACCATTTTTCCAATGTTAGAGTGAATCAGAACCGTCCATGGCGCTTCACAGATGGCAACTTTCCAGGCTCTAGGAAGTCTAACGTGGTTGGTTTGAAGGTTCCTAATTGCTGGCCCAAATTTCCTTCCTTGGATTTTATTTGGGGTGACAGCAGATAGGCCTTAACTTCAAGAAGCAATCAAAACTACTGCAGAAGATGCTTAAGGAAAAGGTGTAAACAGAATTGAGTGAACACAATAAAGACAAGAACACAGATCATCTATCCGTGAGAAAGACCGGCAGAAATCCTTCAGTGAAACCTGGGCTATCCATTTGCTTTTCTGTGATTCTGTCTCTGTCTCAAAAGAGTGAAGAAGCTATCTGTGCCTGCTTCTACATCCTAAAGCGCTAAAAGCTTTTGTGCAAA